TCGTGATGATATCTTCAATTCTCTAATTTTGGTGAATATTTTTGTCATTTTTGGTAAAAAGTGATATTTTCGACTTCTTGTTAAAAACCGCAAGTCCGATTGCTTTGATATTACATATATAGGTACTACACGTGGACCTTTCTCAGATTTGTTCATTTTGTGATGATATCTTCAATTCTCTAATTTTGGTGAATATTTTTGTAATTTTTGGTAAAAAGTGATATTTTCGACTTCTTGTTAAAAATCAATAGTTCAATTGCTTTGATATTACATATATAGATACTACATGTAGACCTTTCTCAGATTTGTTCATTTTGTGATGATATCTTCAGTTCTCTAATTTTGGTGAATATTTTTGCCATTTTTGGTAAAAAGTGATATTTTCGACTTCTTGTTGAAAACTGTAAGTCCGATTGCTTTGATATTACATATATAGGTACTACATGTGGAACTCTCTCAGATTTGTTCATTTTGTGATGATATCTTCAATTCTCTAATTAATTTATTTTGGTGAATATTTTTGTAATTTTTGGTAAAAAGTGATATTTTCGACTTCTTGTTAAAAACTGTAAGTCCGATTGCTTTGATACTATTCATATTGTTCATTTTCTAATGATGTCTTCAGTTCTTTAATTGAAATGTGCATTGCTAACAGCGGAGCTATCTCAGCCGATAGGCTGCTTGTTTGTCTTACAATACTTCCGCAGACATTTTGGTAGTATTTTTAATTATTAGTGTAATTCCTCGATTAACATATTCATGGGATGCTATCATGAGGATTTACAATTGGAATACCTTCACATAACCACTTGCCCCAGAGAAAGGCCGATTTAGTCCGATAACTCCCCCACGCACAGAACATAATTATGCATCCAGATGTAAGCACAATATGATTTTAATAATCATATAGATTTCAGCTTGGAGCTAACGGATTACAGATATTGCATCTTCACGCTAGGATTCCTGTCCAGTCGCTATGTGTACACCAGGTAAGGATTATATGCGAGTTGTAAGTGAAGCAGAATTTGTCACCGTCTGTGGCAGTTACTGTGAATGGATTAATTATTCATGAGGCTTTAATTTTGCTTATTTCGCTGACTGGAAAATGCGCTAAATTAAACCCCAGTGAATGTGTAAAAATTGGCATAGAACAAATTATCTAAATGATAAAACTGCGAATTTAAAACCCACTGAATGTGCCTGAAATCAGCTAAATTTAAACCCAGTGAAAATTAATCATTTCAGAGTAATTCAGTATAAACAATTCTATCCTCAATTTTAAACTTGTTGATGCCCTAAGCTGATAAAAATTCAATCACATCTGAATTTACGTAAATGCTTGGCATTGTTCGACTGTTAGCTAACGATTTCTGACCCAGATATTTTACGAATACCGTAATTGTTGCATTTGGTATATGGCACATACTACTTCATGCACCAAATACTACAAACAAAATATATCAGATCACAAAGCTTTTATGTACAACCGTGTTTAAAACAGTCTCAATGACCATTCTATGTTAACACAGTCTTGTATGTCTAATTCTTAAAGGGAAGAGCTGTCATCAGAAAATTTATTTTGAAATCATTTGCTACTTTTAGAAATATAAATCACTTTCCCGAATACATGCTTAGGAGAAAATGATAACTACATCATTTTTTTTTTAATTTCAGATTTGTCAAGCTTGAAGACTCGTTACAATCGTCATGGTGATTGAAGTGACACTGCCTTTTCGCATTAGTTTCAGCTCTAGAATTATTTTATTTTTTTTTACTTTTTGTTTTTTAGAAGTGTATTTTTGTAGTTTATTTATTTGTATTTTTTTCTAAACTGACACTGTTTATGAGATGACTCTGTAAATGCAAGATTGCATGATGGTGGAAACCATCTCAGTTTACGTGTAATACAGTCTGTATTACTTGTTGCCTGAATCAACCAAAGCTACTGCGACTTATTTAAAGATGCTGATCTGTCAAGAGTTGTTCACACCTCAGAAATAAAACGATAAAGTACAATAAAAACAAGAAACTAGTGTCCTCTCGTAAATATCCCCTTGTTTTAAATAAAAAATCCTGTTGGACATTGCAAACTGAAAAGCACTTTTCCTATTGAAGTATCTAACAAATATAAATGCTTTCATTAAAGGTCATTTGGAGACTAGTGCCCAGAAAGAGATCTTTTGCACGCCTCCTCCCGAAAAGGCTACCTGGAACCATTTTCTCCACTTCGCAAAAAATTAAAACTTTGTCTTATTGTTCTTGATGCATATTCATGTCTATTCCAAAACATTAAAAACGTACGTTCATTAAAACTGTTTACCATACATGTTGTCAACACTTATGCAACAATTAATACAAATGTATTATAGTAATAACAAATTTGCATGTTTACATTTGCAGCCATACTAAGGTAAATAATTGTGACTGTGCATCGTGACTGCTGTCCTTCCCAACAATTGAAATGTATTGGTCTTCCAATATATTTAGGTTTGACAGCATTTCACTGGCGTATATTTGTAGCAGTTTTGAAAAATTTCATTTCTGAAGGTCAATTATATTCGTATACATTGCGCTAGGGGAAGCTGTCAACATCGCTAATAAGTAATTATTGTATCTGATAACCAAGTATAACACTATGAGAACATTAAACGGCTCTGACTGGGGCTCGCATAATTTGTGATACACCTAACTGCTGTCAATGAGAGCACCCTTGTTTTAAACAGACCACTGAAAAAATATGCAGATGAGGGAGACCCACTTCTGACCATAGACTGTCAACTCTGTTATAGTACTCAAAGACAATATGCACATCTTATTTGAGAATGTTCACTGACGGGGGCTATGCTATTGTAAATTGTTTTTACTGTAATTGTTTAATTAAAAAATTTGCATTTTAATGATCTAATGATGAAAAGTCATTGTTATTCTGTGTTTTTTAGAATCTAATGAAATGCTAAATTTCTTGATTCTTACTGACTTTAATATAAAAAATATGTCTCTGGCAATGTTAAATTTGAACAGATGTTGTCAGTGTTATTGATTTTAAAATAGTACCATGTTTTCTTTTGAATATGTTGCTGTAAATGAAAACAAAAAAAATCGGGTCACCGAACAGTTTTTGTCAAACAGTACTTTGACTTGTTATAAAATATTATCATAATATGTTTTTTCTCACTAATTTTATTTAAAGACATTATTTCTGATATCTCAAAATGTTTCAAGAATATCTGGCAATTTCGTGATCATCTCGCAGTTTGTTCGACTTCATACTGAGATCTTTAAATTGCATATCACACCAGTTGCTTTTAACCTTCATCCTATAAGAGGGTCAGCAAGGGGGTATTTCCGTAAGCTGTAATCAATCGTTTTTATTTTCGTAATAATGTAATTTAAATAAATGAAAAGCGTAAATGAGCAAGGTGAAAAATGTATTTAGCCATTTTATTCGTCCCAAATATAAAGATCTTATTTTTTGTAAGTGTATAGAGAATTTTCCACATTGAATGTCATAATTCTTACGCAATTTCAAATTTTGATTCACACCAATAATCAAATATATTATAAAAATGTAAAATGGAATTTCCTTTATCTATAAAGTGTTAAAACCTGTTTTTTACTGTAAATAGAACTTTCATTTTATTTCCTGTAAAAACATAAAATGCCTTTTTTATTTCCTGTAACCTGTACCCAGCTATCTCCCCCCCCCCCTTTGCCCCCCTTCTTATAAATCCTTGATAGAAACATATATAAAGACCCGAGTCTCATATGCTGTACATTTATTTTGCCATCTTTTTAACCTGCTTAAAAAATATAGGGTTTAGCATTCATCAGTTAAATTATATTTTTATTAGTCCTCCGTGCCTCAGTGCCTCTGTGCGTGCGTCTACGCACGCGTGCGTAACTGTATCTTAGAAATGCCTGGACCAATCACAATCAAACTTCACATATACATTACATTATACATATGCGATCTGATTCAAAATGGCCGAATGGCAGCCATTTTTGTACTGAGAATCATCAAAATTAAGCATTTCTCGGCTGTTTACAGATGAATTTTGTTCAAACTTGGTATATACGTTAGACATTACGAGTTCCTGATGCACGTCATTTTATTTTTCAGATCGTATTCAAAATGGCTGACTGGTGGCTATTTTGTTTTAATGAATGGGCTTCTAGAGCCATATCTCTGACATACTTTGACTGATTATGTTCAAATTTTATATATTCATTATACATCATGTTATAGATATATACATGTATTCAAAATGGCTGATTTTGTTTTAATTAATGTTGTTCCAGAGCAATATCTCTCAATGTGGACAAGTACTCATTTGATGATCAGATACAAATGTCAATCATTTTAATGTTAAACAATCATCATAATCATATTTCTGACATTCCAGCTATATTACTATAAACAAAACTATATATCTTAAATTTTATAACTAACGGGGACTGTGCCATGCATGGTTTGTTATTTATATTAATGATTATAATAATTGTACTATTTTTCTGTTAGGTAATGCCTAACTTGTCGGCATCAAAGCGACACAAAGTTGAGGAGCTACAAAGAAAGTTAGCATCAGGTCAATACACATATAACACAGACTCTCCAGCCAAGCCAACTTCAGCTGTGGCTCACTCTGATGTACTGACAAAACAAGATCAGAAAAATCAAGTTAAATTGGAACTTGACGACATAATTGCAGCCGAGTGTGTATATTGTGGAGAAATGATGATCAGGTGAGTGGTCAACTCGTCTGTCTGTCTGTCTGTCTGTCTGTCTGTCTGTCTATCTATTTTATCTGAATGTTTAGAATTTGCGAATAATGCAGTAACTATGGTTGCCAGTATTTGGCAATTGCTGCTTTAAGACAGATACCTGCTCATAAAAAAAAATATCTAAAATGTATCTGTTATGCTTAGATTTGTACTAGAATTTGACTTTTATTAAATTTTGTTCACAAAAAAACTATGGTGACCAACAAAAAATGATATTTACAATTGTTGGAGATATTATACCACAATATAAATATTGTGCTGTAACCCAAATAACTGCTGTACCATTTTACAATGGAACAATAAACCAAATATTGTCATGCAATTCATAACTAGCTTATTTAACAATTATTAGTAGGCTTGTTATCTTCTGGGGAAGTGATTGTAATGTGGTGCTGCCTCTCTGTGTGCAGTACTTGCTTTACTGGTATCTTTAGAACCTGATGAAATATTCTATGAGTTGATTAGTTTAGGGGTACTAAAGGCCAAGGGTTCAAAGTGCAGAAGTCAAAGGGCACTAAAGTTCCAGGGTTCAAAGTGCATAAATCAAAGGGCACTAAAGTTCCAGGGTTCATAATGCAGAAATCAAAGGGTACTGAAGGTTCAGGGTTCATAATGCAGAAATCAAAGGGTACTGAAGGTTCAGGGTTCATAATGCAGAAATCAAAGGGTACTGAAGATCCATGGTTCAAAAGAGCAGGAATAAAAATGTTATAAAAGTATTCCAAGAATCCTTCACGTTAAAATATTACAATTGATTCAGAGTTCACAATTTTTATGTGCTTTCAAAGATTGTTTAACTTAAATGAATTTTTTTAGTAACTTGCTTGTATTACACTGTAAAATCAGACAACTTTTACAAATGAGTATATAGTTATGTTGAAATATTCAAACATTTATGTTCCCTGTTACAGGTCCATTGACAGGCCATTTCTGGATTCTGATGAATACAGTGAAGTGATGCAGAGCTGGG